AAAGTCAGAATTCTCAGAAAAAAGTCAGAATTCTGAGATTAAAGTCAGAATTCTCAAAAAACTGAAATCAAATTTAAAAATCAGTTACCGGTAACTATTTTTTTTATCAGTGGCCCTAATCCTCTTCCGTAAAGACAGGATTAAACAAAATCGTTTTTTTTTTTTTTTTTTTTACATTTATATCTAATAGGTTTAAAGTTAATCTTTAATGTTTTCTCCTTTAAGATATAAAGCCTTGACTGATTTCCAGTAGAATCATCCATATGAATAATACTCTCAAAATATCTGGAATATTTAAAGCTTTGCCGTAATTACAGGATATTATATATATATTCGTTATATATATATTCGTTATATATATATATATATATATATATATATATATATATATATATATATATATATATATATATATATATAATTTTTTTTTTCCCTATGCTTTGGTACTTTCAAGGTTTAAGTGTCTGGTGAGTCAGAAAATGGCTGATAAGGTTTTACTGAGTCGTTTTATACCCAGGCCTGTTTTTACTGCATTGTTTTTGTTAAAGACCACGAGTAAGCTGAAAAAATGACAAAACTATTGTATGAGTTGTATGTTCAAAGAATAACTGCCGAGTGGATCTGAATCTTGTTTACTTCCGTCAGTTTTATCAAACCCATGAACACTATTGGCCAAAAAAATCAGCATAATAAAACCAGCAATGTGTGCTAAAGGTGGCTGTTCAGACTCATTGTTGTGCTCTTTCTTGGTGATGGTGACAGGAAAATAGAAAATATCACAAGGATATATTGAAGCACAGAGGTGGTGCAGGCAACTGGTGCAGGGTGATTTAAAGTATTGGACAAAGACACTTAAAGCTAATTCTCTCTTTAATAAAAATGTCCTCTAAAGTTTGAAGAAAAGATGATGATGAAACATGGACTGGCTAAGATTTTGGGACAATATTGCATGCATGTGTTTTGCCGATTCATTGGAGCATCCCGCAGTCATGCCTGGAGATAACATGAAGCAGAGGGCGCTGTTGTCATGGTTTTGGTTGTTAGGATAATTATCATTGATGATGTGTGAGTTTATTACACCTTAATATTAGCTGCCTGTTGTGTGTCAGAACTAATATTTTCCACAATAGTTTATCTAATTAAGACAGCTCCTCTCTGCGGATATACAGTTTGAATCTTTATTCTGTACGTGGCAAATTTTGGGGAATGAAAAGATAGCGGTGTTCTTCTGTCATGATCTGGTCTGTTTGCTCCTCCTTAATTAGTCATTCCTTTCACCTGTCGTTTTCCCTCCCTGCCTCAATTATCATTTATTCCTCTCACCTGTTTTCTCTGGTTTATATTCAGTTCAGCCTGAGCATTCAGTGCCAGATCATTACTTGTCTTTCTGTTAGCCTGTCTGTTCAGTTTATTTCTTGGTTCATGTCCTGGATCCTGGCGGCCAGTGGAAAGAGGTTTTAGTGTTTGTCTCGTCTCCTGATCGTCCACTGTTCCTCCCCTGCTGAGTCCTCTGGGTTTTTGGCTCTATATGTGGGGAGGTTCAGTTTTTATCTCAGTAACCCTGGCCCCAAGGTGGAGACCAGTTTAAAGGTCCTGCATCAAGTTCTGGTTCCACGTCCTGTCTCGGCTATCCTCTGCCACTGAGCCTGCCCGTCTGCACCTGATCCCCTGGTCACGCTTTCGGACCCTGTCAGACTCTGAACCCTCCTGGGAGCCTGTGGATGCCTGGAAGTCTGGATCCTGCAACCTGTCCCTGTCTGTTCCTGTCTGTTCTGGATCCATGACCAGGATCGGCTTCCAGCATGTCCTCTGGGACTGCAGCACTTGGGGACATTCTTGGACTGATCTGCTAGACCAGAGTGTCTGAGATTGGGCGGTGCCCCGCCCCCCTCCTGCATAATCCGCGAGCCACAGCTCCACTTTAGTTTTCTTTATTTAATAAACGTTTTGAGCTTTCCTACTGGCTGTCTCTCCTTGAATACTGGGTCCATCTTTCCTCGGTTCTTGACACCTTTAGCCAAGAACAAAGTGTAACATTGTGTCTGCTCATCGCTACTCATCTGCCAACATGTATGATGTAATGATGTGATGATGTGGCAGAATGGAGATGCATAAAATGCCTTTTTAACTGTTTATGTATTTATATTTCCTGAGAGGTGAGCCCAGAGGTGAGCAGCTGCCCTCTGTAACTCTAAGCGACTTCTCTGATCTGAGTAAGATTACATTTCTATCAGAGTCTGTTGTTGTGTCTCCTGGTTATTTATTACATATAAGTTATAAAGTGTTATTTAAAGAGTTTGTCCTGAGTGAACTCTTTTCAGGAAAAATAAAAAAAGAGAGAGAGCTTCAAGGTGCATACACAGAACCTATCTTTAACAAATGGTGTTTAACATGATTCTGTTTAAGTTTTATCTTTGAGTTTTCATTGGTTTTATTTCCATTTTGTATTCTAGTTATTTTTAAATGTGTTTGAGTTCTTAGGTATTACTTGTTTGCCCTCTTGTGTCAGTCTCCTTCTCCTATCTCCCTTCTAGAC